TGAGCGCATTTCGTAAAGTTGACAGCTGAGTAGGAAAGCTTTTATCCGGAAACGTTAAGAACTCCAGAGCCCGGCCATTTCGTTTCGTAACGCGAGTCCATATATGGCCAACTGAAACCTTGCAGCTTCATTAACAACTTCCGACCATATCCTTATAACTGAAGACATGTTATAATATCTGACTATGTCCTTCCACTATCTGTATCGTTCCCGTGAAACATTACTGTCGTTTTTTAATGCGATCGAGTTGTCTACCTCCTTCGCTCAGAAAGGGGAACGTCTGTCTTCCCTATTGGTATCACTGTCACCTTCGCTTAGATCTTCAGCAGCCGTCGTCGTGCTGCCACACGTTCAGCTGCCGGAAATCATGAAGCAGATCCTATCGCCGCCTTAAAGCAGTATGCTTCAGTTTCACACATACTCTACGGCTCTTCGTAATCCGTGCTACCACTGATCCGGGCATAATACTCAATAATCTGATATCGTCAATACCATGAGGGACAGGTAATAAAATTTTGCGCGAGACCGCCCCGGTCTTTAACCTTCCTTGTTTCTTACCCGAGCTTGGGGCCGGCACAAACGGAGTTATAAATCATATAACAAATAATTAACTGTAAGTTAATGACCCAAAGCAACAAAACTGCCGCAATCTCTCTATCAGATGACAGCTGTGATGGCAAGGAAATCACATTGCCTTGGAGGTTAAGATTTGAGAACACAGGCGAGTCATCAGACCAGATTAGCAATTAGATTTCCCGTTAAACAGTTTAAATATTCAGCTGTTGTGAATCAACCGTAACACGACGAATTGCTCGATTCAACAGTTCATCATTGCTTGCTAAACATGGGACTTATGGTTGATTTCAGTTCATCAGCATGTGACCACCAATTGGCCATATTGATAATACGTTTTAGAACCACTGTTTCTAAAAGTTTAACAGCTACATTCACACAGTCACAACAATCACTGACAATTATCAGTCACATTCTCAATATCTACGACTGCTTATTGATCAAACACTTTGCATTTACTTTGCAGCTAACTACTGAAACCAGTGGAACCATAACTAATAGATTGGTTTTGCTCTTCAGAGCTGGGAGTGTGAATCGTAGGGCGACGCAAACTTTTTAATTGCTAACTCTTTTGAGCAAAGAAGTCACCTCACTGTGCTTCGATGCAACCAGCCGAGAGACTGATGGCAAATATAGACCTGTGATTAATCGCAACAGCATGGCATTCTGATATGGTCATGCCAGTGCGTACGAGCCAAACGAAGAGAAATTACTTCCCTAATTTATACTGCTATTCATAACCTCAGTACAAACCGAACTGATTAACGTTCACAAGAATCGGATTTCAAGTCGAGATAAATTCAACTGAACGTGTTACGTAAGTTAAGTTAAGGTGCTGCAGCAATGACCGTATGCAAAAATTTACCTTTAATGCGAAACTATTCATACTCAAGTACTTCAGTTCTGCGCCAATCGAAACCATATTCGTCATCAGCCTTCTATCCGCTGATTGATGCAGGCCCTTCTAAGACAGCCATAAACTTCTGTCTTGCGCCATTTTCATTCATCTTGTTTCAGGGAACTTCTTCAGCAATCTGGAGGTCTTCCCATGGGCAGTTTACTCTATCTTGCAGTCCAGTTTCATGTCTCTCTCATCTAGCGATGGTTAGTTCTGCTTGCAACGTGTCCTGTTTATTTCCACTTGAACTTCTTCATTCAGGCAATGTCATCGCAGACTCCTGCCTCACTTCATTGCATTCATTCGTCTTCCTATCTTTTCTGTGTTATTTCCAACATACATCCTTCCTTATTCTGTCGCGTAGTCTCCTTTTGTGACACCTTTCAGGCATAGGGCCCGCGTTTCGCACACATAGGGTAGCACCGGAAGCAAGCACTGATCGAAAAATTCCGTTTCAAGCATAAAGGCAGTTCTAAGAGAGGAACATTATCACTCTTCAAAAAGCGTTCCATGTCTTTTTCATTCCGTTGATTTCAACTACTCCATTCTATGCTGCAGAAAAAACTGTCCAACAAAGATGTAGTTTGGCACTCTTCAAGCTTAAATCCGTCTCATTCAATCGGTTGTGTGATCACACATTTGTTAAGTATGATCTGAGTATTCGTTAGATTTATTTACAGACCTACTTTGATGTTCAGAACATTTGGCGCTTTGATTCTTCTTTGTAGTTCTTCGGATGAGCCTTAGAAGAAAAGAATATTGTCCGCAAACCGCTTGTTGTTTAACCAGTTAGTGCCCATTTATGTTCAACCCAGATTTGCTCAATGGGTGTCTTAAAAACCTCTTCAAGGGCTCTTGCCAATGGTGATATTGCGCCTCCATGTCAGACGTCCTTTTCGATAATGAACCTGATTGTGCTTTCCGCAAGTTTCATAACTGCAGTTGAAATCATGGCGATCAGGGAACCCATGGCTGCACAAGAAATTCAGAACAGAACGGGTGCAGACTGAGTCGAAATCCTTCTCAAAATC